TTGGTTTTTCATAGATAGATTAGGCACAATTTTAATAAATCCCATCATTTGCTTTTTTTCCTTCTCTCCAATAAAGCTATTGGATGCCTAAAATGAGAGAAATGTTTCAAAATAGAACATGCGTAATTAGTTAACGGAGTGAGCTGAGGTTTCATCTGAAACTCACCCTCCCCACATCTTTCAAGCAACTTTTTATATTAATGAAGTGTATTAAAATACACCTTTAGGTTGATTTGTGATTCAGTTCGCCATCTTCAAACAAATTACAGCCAATAAAAGTTTTCAAATTAGCATCTCCTCGTTGGCACTTACAGGTATCAGTGACATTTTTGTGTGGATAGAGGTTATGGAGATTTGTGATTGTGCTGAAGAACATAGGTCTAGAATCAGTACTTATTATTGCTGGTATTAAAGTATGACAAGTAATATCCTGGCTAATTTATATATTCCCACTACTTGAAACACTGAGCTAAGCTGGAATCTGAAGACAAGGTCAAGAAAGTCACTCTAAAATGGAATCTAATGAGTGGTAATATACAAGGGGAGGGAGTTTTTGTAACAAACCCTACTTTGTGGTTTAAAGTGTTCTTTCCTATAAGGCTGAGATGCCAGAAGTAATGTCTCTACATCATGCAGCCTAAAAACAAGAAGTAGTGGTTGTTGTTGTCCATCATTGCCCGTGTGGTCAGGGTTCTCCAGACAAACAGAAACAATATCATGTATGTTATTTTAAGGAATTGGCTCAGGACATTATAGAGGCTAGCAATTCCAAAATATACAGCATGGGTTGGGAAACCTAGGGAAACATCAATATTGCAATACCAGCCTGAAGGTCAACTGCTGGGAGAATTTCTTCTTGCTTGGAGGAGGTCAGACTTTCTTCTGTGCAGGCCTTAAGTTGAGATGAGATCCACCCACATTATGGAGAACAATCCACTTTATTCAAATTTACTCAATTTAAATACTAATCTCATCCAAAAAAACAGCTTCGCAGAAACATCTGGCAAAACATTTGACCAAATATGTGAGGACAGCCAAGTTAATACATAAAATTAACCATCACATTGCCCAAGAGGAGAGGAGCTACAGAGGGTGGCTGCTAGTGTTTTAGTCTCTGGGAGTCTGAGTGTCCAAGAGCAAAGTAGTCTGACTGATTTTCAGCTCTGGTACTTCCTAGTTTTGTGACCTTGGGCAGTTTAACAAACTCTTGGAGCTCATAGTCTTTCTGTAATTAAATAACAGAGTTGTGAGAATTAGGTGATGTAATTCATATGCAACATCCAAGAGCCCCTTTATAGATTCTCAATAATTATTTGTTTCCCTCAACTTCCAAAGGGAGGAGTATTCTCCAGCTGCCATGACACTCTGCTCACAAAGTGATATGCTGATTACTAATTCCATTTTCCACGTATGTGACATACGAATTCTTAATGGAAAGGACAATCTCATTTTTCATGAATGCAATGGTATCCTTATTGATAAATCTGTCTGGGTCAGAAATTATTGGTAAGAAAAGAATCCACTTTTTATCAAGACTGGAGGGAGAGAAATCTCCCAGGCACTTGATTTGTAGGAAATAACTTGTCCTTGTTGAAAACCATAAAATTAGTTACCTGTCTCTTTTTTGGGGATGCATAATCTTGTTCATTTCTCTTGAGGTTCGTTTGTTCCATTCTAAAAGTCTCTTCCATTGTAATTTTGACCAAATGTGACATTTCATGGACTCTCTGGCCTATTCGCCACAGGACTGTGCAGCTCCATGCTCCCACCATCTGACCATCTGGTTCACTGTGTTTCGTAGGTCAAATCCTTGAGAGAATCCAGTCAGTTGCTGGCAAGCTCCACTGATCCTCCCAGAGATGTGAATCAAAAAAAGAAGCCTATTAAAAGGTAAGTTGAGTGTGGTAGGTAAAGTAGCTTACAATTTAGTTTGTAATATGGTTGCTTAGCTGGGTCAGTCAATGAGCCTTAAATTGTTGTACCTGCTCATTGGTCCTGCATCCCTAGCCTAAAGTTGGCCCTCATCTCACAGCAAGTTTCGAGACTGGCACAGGCGGTTTCTCCTCGCAGCCTTTCTGCCTCTCCAGTTCCTAGGCACTAATGGTTGTCATTTGACTGGTCACTTAAGAATCTTCACCACTCCATTATTCACTGCCAGTCAACTGCCATGATCTCAAGGGTAGTCTAATCATCTCTTCTTGTCCTGCTCTTTGTATGTATTGTCCCCTATTCCTGTGTTCTTTGATCTTGAATTCCTCATCCCTCTATAGATTGTGGACTTTGTACGCATTTCTCCCAGTGTTCACCTAGGTCTTTCTCTAAGATGCTCCTGGACCAGTGCTTTGCTCCATCCTGGATGTACCAGAATATTGGCTGTGATGTTTTAAAGCCAGAGGCAGACCCAGATAGGGAATGTGAGTTGTCCTGAGAGGACAAGCCTTAAAGAGCCCATCTGCCTTCACCACTACAGTTGGCCCTCCGTGTCTATGAATTCAATCAACTGTGGATTGAGAATATTTGGGAAAAAATGTGTCTATACTGAATTTAGATGGACTTTTCTTTCATCAAGACAATACAGTATAACACCTACTTTTATAGGATTACATCTTATTAGGTATTCCAAGTACTCTAGAGATGATTTAAAGTGCACAGGAGGACGTAGGTAGGTAACATGCAAATGCTACACCATTTCATACAAGAGACTTGAGTGTTCATATATTTTAGTATCCATAAAGGTTCCTGGAACCAATCCCCTTCTGACACCAAGGGACAATTGTATAGAGCCACCAAATGGAAGCAGCAATGAAGCACTGTAGAGAAAGAAGAAGTCTGTGAGTCACTAAGGCTGAATTTGAATCCTGACTCTTACGTTCACTTGCTTCAAGACCTTGGCCAAGTCTTCTGAGGTTAAGTCCTGTAAAATAGCCTAGGTTGGTGGAAAAATGAAATGAGATGAGTATAAAGCACAATGTCAATGTCAATAGTTATTTTAAAAATCATTTTTATCAATGTTAATAGCAATATTTCCCAGACCACAGAAAATGACAAAAAAAGAATGTATTGGTGTGCCACACAGTCAACTCCTCACTTCTGAGAAACATGCTTTTGTCTCCACTCCATCTATTCCACAAGGTCACTGTCACATGGGGGCGGTGAAGAAATGATGGCTATATTTATAGCACTTAAAGAAAGCGAACTTCAGATTTGGAGAAGTTCCCCCACCTAAAACCTTTTCCCGTAATAAAAGTTTAAAGTCCTTTCCTTGCAGCTTACCTTATTTTTTTTCCCCTTAAACTACAGAAGCAATGTCACATTGCTGCTCCTCTCTCTGTGCAAATGCCATTCTACTAAAACATATTTCTTACTGAATTTTGGTTGGAGGCAAAATTATTTCTAGGTCATTTCCCCTATGATCAAGAAGAGTACAGTAATTAAAACATTATTTGTAAACAGGATCAAGAAATAATTTATAGCCAGTGTGCAAGGGCTTTGCTCTTTCATGAACTTACTTATTTATGTGTTTGAATAGAACCTATGAATACTAACTGGCTCTTTATTTGAGTAAATGAGACTATGGCAGGGAGTGAATTGAAGAAGGAAAGTGTGAGGCACATAATTGAAAAATAAGATGGAGTGATGGATTTTAGATGGATGTCTGCCACTGAAGCATTTTGTGACTCTAACTAAAGTACGACACTTTGTGCTCTGACTCCCCAACTGGAAAATTATGATAATATAACTACCTGGAAAATATGACATGTGATTCAATTTTTAAAAAGGAAGAGAACATCAACAAGATTTTTGGATTTTTGAATCCAAACAAGCAAATATCCAAAACAAGAGTCTACAAAATTAGAATTTTTAGTTATTCTTAGACACTACATTTTATCCTTTATTATCAGGCTCATTAATATTTGGAGAAGCCATTTTAAAAGTAGAATTTCATCAAATTAATAGTGGGGATATTTTTTAGACAAAAGGCATAATACATAATTTACAAAAGATGAAACACATTTAGCAAAGAAGCATATTTAAAAATTATCAGCCTCACTAGGAATATAAAAAAGAAAGCAGAAAAATGAAGGAACAGTTTTTCAACTTTTTTTTTAGCAGTACTGGGGATGGAATTCAGGGTCTTATATATTAAGCAAGTGCTTTACCACTGAGCCACACCCTTCACCCTCACTTTTGAAATTGGAAAAAATTAAAACACTCTGATGTTACAAGTCTAAAGTTGGTGAGGAATTGGAGAAGTGAGCCCATTAATGGTGAAAGTAAAAGTCAGTACAGCATATCTGAGAGTAACCTGGTAGTAGCTCTAAAATTTTAAACCTGTATGCCCTTTGGCCAAGAAATTCTATTTCAGGGGATTTACCCTATTTAAATACTCACAGTAGACAAAGACATATATATGATGGTGTTTCTGAGAGTAGTGTGGTAATGGCCTGACAAGGTAACCTCAATATCTATTAATAGAAAGTGAATGAATAACTTATGATACAGTCCATATTACTATCTGCCACCATTAAAAAGCATGAAATAAATCCACATATACTGACAGATAGGAGACTGTATACAATATTTTGTTAAGTCATAAAATAAGCTATAGAAATATATAGAATATAATCACACTTTTCAAAAAAAGCTATGTATGGAAATATTTCTCCTAGACTAATACAAGGAAAATTGAAAAATATGGAGGGATACTTTTTCTCTTTCTATATTATATGCTTCTATATTATAATTTTATAGCAAGTATCAATTATTGTTGTTGTTAAGATACCAAGTAGTTTTACATAGACAGGCATTTATAACTATCTCCCTCAGCCTACCCCCATACTGCATCAGGCCAAATTTTTGCTTCAGTTTTTAATTTTTTTCTTTCTTATTTTGGGAGGCATTTTTTAAATAAATAAAATTTCCTGCTAATTATAAAAAATATTTATTCATTGCCAAGATTTGCAAAATGCAGAAAAATCAGAGAAAATAAAGACAACAAGAATCTACTCTTAAAGATACACTGACATATATTTTGATATATTATCTATCTTTCAGTGTTTTCTATAAATTCTAAAATATTAGAACTATTGCAAAGATGGAGTATTGTATACTAATTTTTCACTTAACATTTTATTGATCATTTCCCCATGTTATTAATCACTTTTTAATGTAATTTTATAGTTATAGGATATACCATACTATGGTGTACAATCAGTTAATATCGAACATTTTGGTAGCTTCTAATATTTTGCTATTAAAAACAATATGTGCTGGGTGTGATGGCCCATGCCTGTAATCACAGCACTCAGGAGGCTGCAGCAGGAAGATTGACGTGAGTTTAAGGCCAGCCTGAGCTACATAGTGAGTTCAAGACCAGCCTGAACTACATAGCAAGACCTTGTCTCCAAAAACCAAAGGGAAGAAAAAAACCAATATGTATATGTGTTGGTAGTTATATATATCTATATAGATATATAAATATATATATTCCATTATGTTCTGATTTTCCTGGGGTTGAGCAGGAGGTTGTTTTTTGTCATTGTTGTTGTTTGAGCCAGGGTCTCTCTGGCCTTTAATTTCCCGTGTAGCCCAGGCTGGCCTTGAACTTGTGATTCACGTGCCTGAAGCTCCCAAGTGCTGGACTGTAGGTGTGACCACCATGCACAGCTTGTATTCTGATTATTTCTTCAGGATGAATTTCTAGAAAAGAAAGAAGGGTAAGATTTCCATGAATATTTTAATATGTATTACTGAATTGGCTCCCAGAAAGGCTGAGTAATTTGCCCTCTTATCAGAAAGGATCAGAGTGAATGAAACCTTGTCTATCCTACCCAGGCCAGTGCTTTTATTTTTCATTTAAATAAACAAAAAGAAAATTCAGCCTGTTTCGTAGATAAAATACTTGTCCTTTTTAAAATTTGTATTTATTTGTTAATATAGTTGAAAATTTTAAATATCTATTACCTCTGTTTATAGTCTTGAAAAGAGCATTTCCTTTCATAGTCAAAAGTATTACAGAGTTAACAAAATTAATAATAATTTCTTAATATTATATATGACCTATTTCATAGTTACTTGCTCCAATTGTCTCAAAAATATCTTTTCTGGCTTATTCTGAACAAAATCCAACCCAAGACCATTGCACCTAAATGGTAGGTCTTTGGAGATCTAAAAAATATTATTTCTTTTGTTTTTCTTCCTATGCACTGACTTATTGAAGTTGCCTGCAAAATGCTTTGTTTTTCAGGATTTGTCTGATTGCATCACTGTGGTGCTGTTCATCTTCATCCTCTGCTCATTGTATTTTTTGTAAAAGGGGAGCTGGCTCTAATGTCATGATAAACTCAAGCATCTTCAGAATGAGTAAATCATAAGTGACGGACACTTCTTCCATAAGATCTGGTGGATCATTAAGAATGCTCAGCTTGACCCCTGGATGAAGATGGTACAGTCTGTCCTTCCCATCGTCCTCTATCCAATTTGGAGGATTGGATGGTGATCAGTATGGTCTGTGTTGGCACTGTAAGCATGTCCTTTGTCCCTCTACTGTCTCCTAATGACTTGACCACCAATAGTTAATTACTATCTAAATCAAAGTTTTCATTTGGGATAGAAATAATGATTTTCTAATTCCATCCTTCCTTCTTTTATTCCTATCTCATATTAAGGTGCTGCCTTCGCAGAGCTGAGGACACAAAATCTCAAGACTTTTTATCCCTCATGATGATTTAAATGCTCAGCCCTTGCCAGAACTGGCTCACATACCAATAGTGCAATCTCCAAGTATGGTGTCAAAAAGAAAAAGGAATGGTGAAAGTGCTGGAAATAACCCTGATTTCTATATTATGAAAAGGTACTAGCATAAAACTGAACTGTCCAATAGCAATGGAATGCAAGCTACATATGTAATTTTAAATTGTCTAAAAAAAACTAGAAACAGGTAACATTGTACGTAATATATCTTAACCTACATATCAATATATTATTGTTTCACCATGCCTAATTGACATTTTAGAAGATCCACAATACTTCAATTTTCAAACTTAACCTTAACTAAAAATTTTAAATAGTCAAAATCAGAATAGTTAATATTGTTACTTGAATATTATCAACATTTAATATTGATATAGCAGTACTAACTCATTTTCCACATTAAATGTTATTGGTTGTTCAGTGGTTCCGCTGCCTGCCTTGAAAGCGCAAAGACCTGAGTTCGATCCCCGCTACCAAAAAATAAAAAATAAAAAAATAATGTTCCTTATGGCTCTTTCTTCCTCCAGTCCAGAATATAACTCAGTATTGCACATAGCATTTAGTTGTCATGCCTCTTTAGTCTCCTCAAATCTGGAAAATTCCTTCAATTTTTCTTTAATTTTCTTGATTATATTGGCCAGCTTTCCCATTGCTGGGACAAAATACCTGCAATTTAAAGGAAAGAGGTTTAAATGGCTCATGTTTTCAGAGGTTTCAGTCCATGGTCAGCTGTCTCTAAGGCAGAAACATCGTGCTGAAAGGGCATAGTGGGGCAAAGTTGCTCACATCATGGTAGCCAGGAAGCAGAGCACAGGGGAAGAGTGCCAGGGAGGAAGGGGCCAGGAACTGGTATAGTCCCCAAGATGATGTCCCAGTGACCACAGACACATCCAGAAATACACTTCAATAATCTCCTACATGTGTCTCAAGACAATCAAGTTGATAATAAAGATTAAATACCCCAGTGATATTGACATGGGCCAATTGTAATGAAAAATGTCCTTCAATTTTGAGTAGTTTGCTGTTTCCATGTGATTAGTTTCAGGTTTTGTCTTTTGGGCAAGAGTTTGTGTGTGGTAGACAGTGATTCCCTGCCCAGATCCTCCTTCAAGGGAAGACTTGTCTCTCAGCCTTCACCATGTGCTCCAGGCTCAAAGAACAATCTAATTTGATGTCATGCCCATCTCCAAACAGTGTAGTGACTTTTTGAGGCTAGAATATAAAAGCTTAACCATTTTGACCCAACACAGGGCTGAATGTATCAAACATTCAGAATGTCTGGAGAAAAGAGAAGCTGTGAAGAAAATGTATTGGATGCTTACCACTGATTACCATGGAGGCACTACAGAGAAATATATAAACAGTGAAGGGTGAGTAACAGGCTGTTAAAAACCAGGTGTGAAAACTAGAAGGCAACTAGTTGCATTTTTTTTGGTACCAGAGTCCAAACTCAGGACCTTGCACTTGCAAGGCAGGTGGCAGCACCACTGAGGTAAATCCCTGGCCCTATATATTTTTTAAAATTTTATTTTATTAGTACATTTTAGGTATACAATATAATGACATTCATCATTGGAA